CTAGTAGTACGGCCAGGAGCTACTAGTAGCGTCCTTGTTCCTAGTAGTATTGCCCTTTGCTACTAGTAGCTTCTTGTTCCTAGTAGCAAGAATGCTACTAATTAATAGTAATGCCCTTTGTTACTAGTAGCGAAGCCCTTTGCTCCTAGTAGAGTTCTTGTTGCTAGTAGTGAGGCCCGTTCGTAGCGATGCCCTTTGTTCCTCGTAGCGTCTCCTTGTTCCTCTTGAGCTTGAAGTGGACTTCTGTTTCCACCTGTCTAACAGTCTAACAAGTCTGTCACTCCACTTCTATCCAGGTGCTCCTGGCCTATCCTGGCCTTACTACTAGGAGCGATAGGACGCTACGAACGGGGCTCCTGGCATGGCTACGAACGGAACGATCGGACGCTACGAACGGGACCGTTAGACCCAGGGGATTTGTGGCCTTCACCTCACCTACCTGTGCGAGCCAGGGCACCTCGGGATCCACATGCGACGGCCCCTCCTCGGTGGAGTCGGGACCTTGCCACGATGCCGGCACCGAAAGAGCCGAGAAAACCAAGCAGCCCAAAGGAGCAGCATTCTGCCATAGGTGTGACCCTGATCATTTGAGGATCCATCTGCTTGTATGTCGTGTCAGTCTTGATCCAAAGCTCAGTTCTGTGGTGGGCTATTATTGACAATCACAGCTTCAGCAGGATTCCGCAGAGTCCCACCGAGGATGACCATGAACACGCGAATGCGCTCGTGGCATTCGTGCAAACGCGCTCGTGTCGCCTGTCTTCAGGACGTCTGCCGTGACGATTCTTTGGAGGACAGTCGCAGACTCCAAAATTGGATGGCTTTGGACCTTACAAATCAGGGCTCTTCAGTGCTCGGGCTACCCCCATTCAGCTAAAAAAACCCTCAGCACAAACTAGTATTATGAAGAGGTGTGAAGTATAAATTCAAATCTCAAGAGCCTTTGCAGTCCTTCACCGGCAGTTGACTTGATGCAACAAACTTGTCGAAAACCGGTAATTTAATATGCATCATGCAAATTCCTGTCCTGTATATGTTCATCGCAAGCACAGGCAGCTGCACCAACGTTGTGCTGAACGTTTTGCTGAGCTGAGGCACATAGTAGTCCAAAAACTCAGTGTCGAGCCCCTCAACCTGCAATCAGGGACAGAAATTCAGGCTTGCCGGAGCGCGAAAAAGCGATCTTGTTGAGAGAAATGGTGCCCAAAAGTCCTTCGTTTGACATCTAAGGATTTGCCGTGAAAACCAAAAGTCGTTCGCCGTGAAAACACTTCTTGGCCTCTAAGGATTCGGATAGAAACAAGAATCCCCGGACGAGTGCCCTCCAGGAACCGCACGAGGCCGTTCGCATCGCTCATGGTGGCGAAAACAAGGCCCCTGAAGAACTCCTTCAAATGAGGTGCCTGCAGAGTGCATTGCTTGGGGCGAATGCGTTGCTCAGGCTTTGCGGATGCAGAAATCCTTTGACCTTCCAAACTCACAAGAAGGCGAAGCCTAACAACGCACGGATTGAAACTTCGAACCCTCTCCGTTTCAACATAAAAAATCATGGAGATCAAGTAGCAGAAAGCCCTATGTTGCCCCACAAATGTCACGGGCAAAGGACACCAAACAGGACCCACGAACAGTAAGATGTGAAAGGACCCATGAGGGCGCACATATCACATCAGAACACCCACATATGAGAGACCACACATCAAAGCGCACGTTTAAGATATGTTAAGAGCATATATCAGGGCACACACACACACATGAGAGCACGCACATAACACCACACATATGAAAGCACATAGTTTGAGTCACATGAGAGCACAAACAATCACACACACACACACACCCCACACTTGAGAGCACACATATGAGAGCGAACACACATTGCAGCACGCATGTGAGCACATATGCAAGCACACGTGAACGGGCACGCGTGAGAGCACACAAAAGTGAAGCTGGGCCACGAACGCTGAGAGGAACCCTCCGACTCCTTGCCATTTCAGAAGCCCGAAACCGGACACCCAAGCTGAGTTGTTTGGAGAAAAACTGGACAAGTGACAAGGACGCTACTAGGAACAAAGGGCATTACTACTAGGAGCATTCTTGCTACCAGGAACAAGAAGCTACCAGCGACCGAAACGACCCTTGGACCCATGAGCTACGGCCTGGCTGGGCGGCTTTTCGGGAGCCCAGCCCCAGAGGAAGTCGTGGGAGGAGCCCTGCAGAGGAGGTCGGAGCAAAGAAGGTTTAGAACTGATGTTGGAGAACAAAGATATACGAGGATTCTTGCAATGTCATTCAATCATGTTCATAGCACAGCAATGAAAAGGGGAAAATTTAGTTGTGCAAAAGCAGCTCAAGTTTTGTTTTGGCTCCATCGAGCGTAATCTATTGAAGTTGAAACCAATTTCGTCATCTGCTTCGTCGAAGGAAGACGAAGGCTTCGTCGAATCGTCCAGGAAACAAGCAGCTCTGGCAGCTCTGCTCTCATAAGGCGATAAAAGTTAGGAAAAAGGCTTGAAGAACTGGATACAGTAAGTAGATGTAGTTAGTAAACAAGGATGCTATTAGGTGGAGGCCATGGCAAGTAGGTTGGAGGCCATGCCTACAAGTAACAAGAAGCTACTAGTAGCCAGGAAGTACATTCTGAGTGCACACATATAGATCCATGGAGCACCGACACCATTCCTAGTAGCGTCTTGTTCCTAGTAGCGATGGCCTCCAACCTAATAGCGATGGCCTCCACCGAGTAGCGTCCTTGCTACTAGTAATTAGTAATTATCATATAGAATAGATATATATATATATAGATCCATGGAGCACCTTCCATTCCCTCTATCGATCGCCGCCAATATCTTGCCACACCTCTAGCTGCCGTAGTACCATCCCTTGCCCCAGCTCGTCAATGCGGTGCCCTTGGAACCGTCAAATGCGAAATGCAGGACCCACAAACCAAGCCACCTACAAGCAAGGCCCCCCAAAGAAGTGGACAAATGATGAGCTCATTGGTGACATGCTGAAGTGAATTACTCCTGAGATGTCACATGCCCATGTTACTGTTTGCTAGATATGCCAACAAACCAAAGTGCACTGAAAGGGAATGCAAAGAAAATTCAACATTCATGACCCTCAGCTTAAAAACAATGCACCAACTGCCTTCAATAAGGCCAGAAGCTTGCCCTTCACTTCCTTTTCCTTTCCCTGCTGCAGCATGTCCAACTCACCGCAAAGGAGAAGCAGTGTAGTTGGCCCAATCTCCCCAGGCACTGCCGGTCAAGCCATCCTGCAGTGTTTTGTTGTCTTATGTTGTCCGCGAAACCAGCTGGATTGCGAATTATCTTCAATGCATCAACTTTCTATGGGCTATCGGCTATCAGACGGCTATCAACACAAATAGTTTTAAAGCGAGAAATGATCTCCTGGAA